CATATATATATAAAGGATTAATACAAATTTATATATATATATATATATATATATATATATATATATATGATTATTAATAAAAATAATTCTCACTTAGCTGAGTGATGTTACCTTCAACACCTCGAAACTACAGTTTCATAAATTAACCTCCAGCATCACTCAATACACTCGGATATATATATATATATATATATATATATATATATATATATATATATATATATATATATATATATATATATATATATATATATATATATATATATATATATATAGGCATATGAATCATTAAGCCCAGATATATGGTATCCGATAGCAGACAATTTTGTAGCTTAAACGTGTTTGCAGGAATTATATATATATATATATATATATATATATATATATATATATATATATATATATATATATATATATTTGCATATATATTTGCATATAAATATAAAGTTCGCCTTTTTGAACACAAAATTCGTGTATTCATTGGAAAACCAAGAAACTCTATTTCGGTGAAATGATCTCTTTTAAAGAAACATGTATCGTGATATTATGAATGGACTATTTCTAAAGTCGCGATGTTTATTACATAAATCCTAACAGGTAGACAATATTTGCCAAAAAGTAACTTTTATTTTACAGACTTGAATGAAATTGGCAATTAAAGAAGAAATGTCCTTAGGGTGTTTGAAACTGAAAGTTTTCAACTGCAAGTTATTAAATATTATTAGGCCTTTTCCATACTCTCTGTGCATTTTAAAATGTTTTTGTTTCTGTTTTCGGCACCCGTCAAAGATTCATTAATCTTAGACATGTATATAAACACGTTTAAACGAATCGACATTTTCCTGTTTCTCATTATCTGCTTCATATTGCATTACTGAACATGTTGAGAAAATATGAAAAAGAAAATGAATCTGCCTTTTTTGTATACAAACTTAAAACCGTTGAATTTACTCAGCATAAAAAAATAACGGTATAGTTTCAAACTTTTTTTTTTTAATTAATAATAATATCAACTTAATGAATACAATATGTCCTCTCGTTTTTTAAATTTGAACTTCCACTCACAAAAATATCATCTAAAAAACTCATACCCGCAGACAGATTAATTAATTATTTTAATTTACCCAGTATCGAAAATCAGCCGGTCAATTACTTAACCTAGGTCCCAGATTGGTGATTCGTTTTTTACTGACACATTAAAAGAAGTTTTATTATTATTATTATTATTATTATTATTATTATTATTATTATTATTATTACGAATGTCTTTCATTATTTTCATTTTTATTTTTCTCTCGTTGTCTTTTGCTTTTCCTTTATTTTTAAATTGTCTTTCCCCTCGTGTTATTAACGGCTCTTCTCCGCTCGTTAAATCGTAAACATCGATGTGTTTAACTGAAAAGATTTTCTTCCTGCAGACACGTTTAAGCTACAAAATTGTCTGCTATCGGATACCATATATCTGGGCTTAATAATTCACAGACACACGCATACACTTTATACATGTATCGACAAGAAGATAAACAAATATATATACAAATATTTGTGGCAAATGTCAAGGCTGCAATATTTACGTAATTCTCAGTATTGTTCTCTTAAGCCAAGATTCAGACAGAATTTCGAAATAGCATAACAGATATATAGCCGAGGGCTATATGCTTAGTAAATATAAATAAAGTTATCTTACAATAAAATCTACATTAAAATATTAGAGAAGAGTTTCTTTTCGATTGGGCTACTGCTCGAAAGGAACTAAACCTCCGGATAAGATTCAAGGTGTTATAAATAAATATTTCACCGTTAGGACAAGTAAATTAACAAGAAACTCCATTAGCACGGAAACTGGTTCCGCTGACATCGACCATATCATTTTTATAGAGAACTCCAAACAACATCACGCAATATATTCTTTTTTTCTTTTTTCTTTTTTAAATCTAGTTGACAAGTAAATGAAAAACATTTTTTAAAGTAAAAATAATTTTTAATTTTAATAAAATTATAAATACAAATTTAATTCTTAATTTAATTGGAGGAGCTAAACATAGAAGTAATTTTAGCAACGCTTGAAATAACTGGATATACACTACTGATAGCAAAATTAAATTGGACCAAAAATTAGATGTTTTATACTTTAAATAAGAGAAACTTATTATACATGGTTGAAAAACTGAGACATGATATTTTATTAGAGATTGTATCATGACAAAAAGAAAAAAATAAGACCATTTTATGAATAAATTTTGGTCTAGTCAAAATATCCTCTTTTAGCCTTGATAATTGCAGCACAAACTTGTGGCTTTCTTTTGCAAAAGTTTCTCAGAGTTTGATAATCGATCGCATTCTTTTTTTCAATGACTTTAAGAGCCTTTTTACATTTTTTTTTTTTTTCACCATTCTTTCATGTTCATCCCAAGCTTATTCTGGAGATGGATTCAAACATTTGAACTGTAGTGTACGTAA